CTGGGGCTGCGGCTGCAGCTGGGCTGGGGCAGCTGCGGCTGCGGCTGGCTGGGGCTGGGGCTGTGGCCGGGGCCGGGGCTGGGGCTGGGGCTGGGGCTGAGGCTGCGGCTGCACCCCCCACCCCGCCGCTCCCTCCCCTCACCAGGACCCGGTCGGTACCTGGTCAGCACCTGGTGGGTAACCGGTAGGTAGGTAACCGGTCGGTAATCGGTCGGTAACCGGTGTAACCGGTCGGTAACCTCAAATTGCGTGTTTTTTGGGCTCCCGACCGGGTACCGACCCAGTACCGACCGGGTACCGAGCGGGTCTCGACCAGTCCTGTTTGGATCCAACCCGCGCGCGTGGTTGGGGGGTTGGCCAGCCCCACACAAGCCCCAGCCCCAGCCCCAGCCAGCCCCAGCCCCAGCCCCAGCCCCAGCCCCAGCCCCAGCCCCAGCCCCAGCCCCAGCCCCAGCCCCAGCCCCAGCCCCAGCCCCAGCCCCAGCCCCAGCCCCAGCCCCAGCCCCAAGCCCCAGCCCCAGCCCCAGCCCCAGCCCCAGCCCCAGCCCCAGCCCCAGCCCCAGCCCCAGCCCCAGCCCCAGCCCCAGCCCCATCCCCAGCCCCAGCCCCAGCCCCAGCCCCAGCCCCAGCCCCAGCCCAGCCCCAGCCCCAGCCCCAGCCCCAGCCCAGCCCCAGCCCCAGCCCCAGCCCCAGCCCCAGCCCCAGCCCCAGCCCCATCCCCAGCCCCAGCCCCAGGCCCAGCCCCACAGCCCCAGCCCCAGCCCAGCCCCCAGCCCCAGCCCCAGCCCCAGAGCCCCACCCCCAGCCCGCCCCAGCCCCAGCCCCACCCCCAGCCCCAGGCGCAGCCGCAGCCGCAGCCGCAGCCCCAGCCCCAGAGGTGGGCTGGAGGGGCTGGGCTGGAGGGGGGAGGGGGCTGGAGGGGCTGGAGGCGGCGGGGCTAGAGGGGCGGAGGGTTGGAGGGGCTGGAGGGGCTGGAGGCGGAGGGGCTGGAGGGGCTGGAGGCTGGAGGGGGCTGCAGGGGGCTGGAGTCAGATGCGAGTAGCATCATTAAGTCAAGCAGTTTTGTCCGCCAGACTGGCCTCCATCGAGAACAAAACAGGAAACAGATAACAATCTTCACGGAGCAAGTCCAAGATTTCTCAGGATTCATGACAAGGTCAAGCCCCGAAACTTGCAGGGCGGATCCCGGTTTTCAGCGATCTGAACCAAGTTTTTAATGTAATAAACCGCAGACAAATCCCAGATTTCAGATGAGTAGATCCAAGATTCTACTTAGACAGAACCCAGATTTCCGGCCACAAGACCGCAGACAGAACCCAGATTTCCGGCCACAAGACCGCAGACAGAACCCAGATTTCCGCAGACAGAACCCAGATTTCCGGCCACAAGACCTGAGAAAAAACCCGCCTGACGACACCGACTTTTGGGGATATGTTAAGCATTATATGGATTATTCAAGATATATATGTATATAGATATATTTACGGTTATGAGTTTGGGAACTCTACCTAGAATTGACTCATTTTCGCGCACTTCTCACCCTAATTTTAGCTACCCCTGAACCTCCAAGTAAAGCACGAGCAGCCCTAGATACAGCCTAAACCGCTTGGGCCCACCTTAAGGTACCGCGCCAACCTTGCCCGCGCGCTGCAGAGTCGCAATCACATGCCGCTGGTCTTCGATGAGCCACGCAGCTGCAACGCTTAGGGTGTAGGGTTGAGGGTTTGGGTTTAGGGCTTAACGAACCCGAGTCTGCGAGAGTTAGAGAGAGGGGCGCCTTGCAACCTGTTTGTAGAGCCCAGATAAATGGTTCACCGCAGCATCCTTCGTGATCCGAGTCCCTTGACCGAAAGAATTCTCTTGAGATGCTCCTATCTTCCCGGAGGGTTCGCTAAACCCGGAAGAAACCTTGAACCGTAAATCCTAAACCCTAAGCCCTGAACACCCTAAACAGGGTCCCCAGTGAAGCCTCGATTGTGTCCCTGCGGAGTCGCGCGAGAGCGAGGGCAGTGCGGGTGGCAAAAAACAGGGTCCCCAAACCCAAGTGCACGACCTTAGGCCCTGGAGGCTTGCAAAATGGAGTGTTTTTTTCATATTTTTCATGGTATGCAATCGCAGAGGGACAACACAGGCTCTAAACGCTTCCACCATGCCTGCGCGCTGCATGTGTTCAGGTCACAATCAGCTGTTGTCAGGGATTTGTTTAGGGCTTAGGGTTTAGGGTCAGTTCCCCAAAAGAAGTGGGAGAGGTGGACCAGCGAGCTCGACCGGAGCCTCGCAAAGGCCTGCAAAGCTTGGGCGTCTTCCGGGATCAGTAGCCCTCTACTTGGAGGTTCATGGGTAGCAGAGTAGGTAACCTTTAACCTTTAGTTTGCCTAGGTACTGGACAACTAGGGAGATTCATGGGTACTTGGAGGTAGGGTTATGGGTACTGCCCCTGAACCTCCAAGTACCTTTCCCGCCCCCGCCCCCTACAAAAACAAACAAGAGATCTCAAGTTGCAAAGAATGGACCCCGTGCGGAAAAAATCGTCCCGAGGTCAAAGTTACATGTTATCTTTGTCACGAAGACTACACACGTATCACAAGCCCTGTAACCCTTGGTTTGGATAAGAGACATGTGCATTTGTCGGTACCTGTATGGAGTTCGCTACATGACTTGGAGGTTCATGGGTATAGGTTTCAGTAGGGTCAGAAGTATGGTGACTATACTACTTGTAACCCCATGAACCTCGAAGGAAAGCCCCTAACCCTAAACCCTCAACCCTAAACCTAAACCATATGTAGAGAACAGCAAGAGGCCCACTACAGAGGGTTCCCACTAAAAGGCTCCTACCCGCAGGTTGTGTCCACCGCGCTGGGCAAACGAATGCGTCGAGACCTCGCTGGGGTTTTGGGTTTTGGCTTTAGGGTTTAGGTTTTAGGGTTTAGGTTTTAGGGTTTAGGTTCAGGGTTTAGGGTTTAGGATTTAGGTTTTTTAGGGTTTAGTTTGTTTCAAGGGTCCCTGAATCTATGGGTGCCGGGGGCTATTTAGGGTTTGGGTTCTTCGCAGAAAGCCTGTGGCGAAAGGATTTGGGGCTTGGGGTTGTGGGTGGTGTGTTATGGGGTCCTGCTTGGGTTTTTCTTGTAGGTTTGCCCTGGTTTCCCGGGTGCAAGTTTGGAATCCTGCGAGTCGATCCTCATATGCAGATGCACTTAGGCAATCATAATAGAAACAGTAATATTTAGAATAAGAAGAAGAATACTATGAATAATAATGTTAGTATGAAAAATAACCTCAAAATGCCAACGCCCGGTCGAGCACCTCACCTTTGACCTTCGTAGGTAGGATCCCTAAACCCCAAATCCGTAAACCATCAAACATATCATCCTTTGACCTTTAGCTGCCCTCTAGGAAACTGGTGCCCAGCCCCTCAACATAGCTTGCAATCTCCCTACATAGGGGTTGGAATAACTACTAACACCCTAAACCCTAAACCCTAAACCCCAAACCCCAAACCCTAAACCCTTTTAAACCCTAAACCCTAAACCCTAAGCCTAAACCCTAAACCCTAAAATAGTAGGACCCAGAGTAGACCCTTACCCGTTGTTTTTGTCCTAGGCGACTCTGCGGTCTAGAAGAATATTCACTTGTGGTCCCGCATGACTTTATGATAAGAATCCCCCCCCCCCCCCAAAAAAAAAAAAAAAAACAAAGAGCCCAATACCCCTTAATTAAGGAATATTCCTTAGAATCATACTAAGGATCCCTATATGGTTTAAGTAATATTGCTTAACTAAGGGGTATTGGGCTCTCTGGGGTTAGCACTATTCTAATGGTGTAAGGCCCCGGTAGTATATGTTAAACCCTAAACCCCATATGAATACGTTATGTTGGATATCTTCTGGTTGTTCGATTGCTACATTGTAATATTCTTCTTTCATTTTATACTATGATGTTAGTACATTAAGCAGATTAATATAAGACAATATTGTATGCTCCTGCAATGTTAGTATATTAAGTAGCGGTTAATACAGTACAGCTTTCTTTTATCCTCCCGCAAGTGGCTTCGTGAGTCCGAGGTTGCCCAGCTGGTTGAACTCTAGCAGCCTGTGCTGTTGCAGGGATTGCTTGCAGGGAACCCCCTTCCACCCCCTCCCAAAAAAGCAGCTAATGCCCTGAACCATAGACCCCAGACCCTAGACCCTAAACCCCAGACCCTAAACCCTAAACCCTATACCCTAAACCTTAAATTCTACACCCTAAACCCTAAACCCTAAACCCTAAACCCTAAACCCTAAACCCTAAACCCTAAACCCTAAACCCTAAACCCTAAACCCTAAACCCTAAACCCTAAACCCTAAACCCTAAACCCTAAACTGAACTCCAAAAGCCTAAACTGAACTCCAGAAGCCTCAGATACCCGAAGTTCAGCATCTGTCAAGGCAGGGAGCAGGAGCAGCACGCCGCCGAGCCTCCTGAGATCAAAGCCGAGGAGGAGCTTAAGAGTTATAGGGCCCGGGGTTTAGGGTTTAGGGTTTAGGGTTTAGGGTTTAGGGTTCAGCGTTTAGGGGCTTTACTTGGAGGTTCATGGGTAATTATAAGAGGGTTGTAAGTACCCTAAATAGGGCTGTTTGCAGAGTTGCCATACTTATAGCTCTACTTACAACCATGAACCTCCAAGTAACCCCTTATACCAGCGTAACTGTATACGCCCTTTATGACCTCATACATCCTGCAGTGGTGCCCTTTCTTGTTTGGGGTTTCGGGTTCGGGTTCGTAGTATGTTGTGTGCAGCCGTCATTGTCTGTCTGTGCCCTCAGAGCTGAGGGCGTGAACCCAACAAGCGCGCTCCAAAAAGGGTTCAGAATTCAGGGTTTGCGTGGGACATAGGGTTTGGGGGGTTTGCTTTCGGTTTAAGGTTTGGTGTTTAGGCAGGGTTCCCCTCACCCACCTTTCCTGTGCAGGGAAGGAAAGTGATGTTTTTTTTAGGAGTAGGTCCGGAGTTGGCTTGAAATGGCATGCGGGCAGCTCGCATCGACCTACCCCGGACTGCTGCGTGCAAGTCGTACTTGATTGAAACATAATTTGGTTCGACCCTAAACCCTAAACCCTAAAAACCGGGCGACACTGCTGAAGGAAGACATGGCGCACAAAGCTTCGCTGTATCTGTCAGGAAGACAACCCGGAGGATGACGATGAGGACAAGAAGGAGAACTGTGCGACCCTAAACCCTAAACCCTTGTTAGGGTTTAGGGTTTAGGATTAAGGAACTCACCTTAAGTTGACATTAAATCAATACAGGGGCACCGTACCGTCTGTATTAACGGGTACTGGACTCTTGGGGTCTTTAGGTTCTTCCGTTTTGGCTGCCTCTGCAAAACACCAATGGCAGCGTTTAGGGCCTATCTTGGGTTTAGGTTTAAATCCCAGAGTTTATGGCTTATTCTGCACGCGGCACTGACAAGCAAGACACAGCCTAACGGAACATGTTCAGAACATCGTTGAATATCGTGCTCTGGGTGGGGGTTGTGGGGAGGGGGGGAATGAGACATTGTCTGGCTGGGGGACAAGTCGCAGTTCAGGCGCAGGAACTCTTACCAGCTGTGTGGCCGGTATATATGGGGTGCCCTGTGCGACCTACAACATCTCAGCAGTGCTTCGTCTCTCTCTGCGCTGTGGAGCCCTTTCCATAAGTTTCGCATGTGCTCTTAAGGAGGAAGCGGACGAGGATGCCCACAACGAGGACTTGCTTGTGCGAAAGTTCCATTATGGGTGGGAGAGATTTGGTTGGCTTCCTTGGTCATGCCCAGAACATGAGACAGCCAACAAAGATGCCTTATTCTTCTTATAGAGCCCCCAAAACCCGCTGTGAGTGGGTTAGAGTTTGGGTACCCTAAACTCTAGGGTTTTGGGGTTCGGTTTTGGGGTTCAAAAGGGTATATATCGGGTTTGGGTTTTAGGGAGCTTGGGAACCAGTTGCGAAAGGGCTTGGGAGCCTACACTGGCAGGTCGGAAGACGGACTGAGGCAGGTACTCCCTTATGGCTCCCTAGAGTTATTACGATAATAACCTTGAAACCCTGTATTCCAAGTAGCAAGGCCCTTATATTACAAGATCTATAACACTGGCCAATGGACTTTTTAAAGATTCACCCCCGTGGGGTTGGTTGAAAGAAATAGCTGAACCCTGTAGCCGGCGTATGCTAGTTCAGGAAGCGGACGAGGATGCCCACAACGAGGACTTGCTTGTGCGAAAGTTCCATTATGGGTGGGAGGGATTTGGTTGGCTTTCTTGGTCATGACCAGAACATGAAACAGCCAACACAGATGCCTTCAAAAGATGGACTACCTTGTGCCTGCCACAAGGCTCCCAAAACACGATGTGAGTGGGTTTCGAGTTTGGGTACCCCAAACCCTAAACCCTAAACCCTGAACCCCAAACCCTAAACCCTATCCGTAAACCCTAAACCCTAAACCCTAAACCCTGAACCCTGAACCCTGAACCCTGAACCCTAAACCCTAAACCCTAAACCACCTTTCGGCACCAGGACGCCTGCTCGCAGGAAGAGGGGGATCAAGCGGATGAGGCCCGGATGCATCCTTAGACCGGCGCCCGGCTCCCAACAACCTTCTTGGTAGCCCAGTGGTACCCTTTACACCTTTTTTTTGTTTTAGGGGTTTAGGGTTTAGGGTTTAGGGTTTAGCGTTTAGGGGGTTCCCATTAAAAACCCAAAAGGGTGCCCTTATTCAATATGGTTACTGGGCTACCAAACTGTAGTTCGTGCTTGACACGATTTGTTGGTTTCCGAAATTAGGGGTACCTTGTTGGGGTCCTTATTATATGGGGAGCTTCTCTAAAACACCCTACACCTCGAAACCCAAATTGTTTTGACAATTTTTTGTGGGCGGGGGCGGACAGGGCGGACGGGGCGGAGGGGGGGGTGGGGGGGGCAAACCGGGGGGGCTGTGGCCGGGGGAGGGGGGGATCCTTTTGAAATCCATCATGCGCGCATGGTGTTTGCAAATGGTTGGGGGTGCTGCCACCCCAACCCCCCGCTTGGTTAAGCCGTGCAAGCTTACTTCAAATTATACCTATGAATCTATTGAAGCCCTTGTAAAGGGTTTTGGCTTTGGGTTTTGGGGTTTACATGGTAGTTTGTTCTAAGTAGGGGTTACAAAGGACCCTAATAAGGCTACCACAAGGAGCTCCTTTGCCCTGATCCCTAAACAATAGGCAAGTCAGGAGGTACCTTACATCGTTCAAGGTACCCAGAGACCCCAATAACCCCCCCCCCCCTCCCCCTCTGTGTAAGCAACATACCTTAAGACAATAATAAGGGTCCCTATATGGTGTAAGGTTTGTTCCTTAGTTAAGGGGTGTGAGGCTCTTTGGGTCCGAAACCCGAAACCCGAAACCCTAGCCCTAAACCCTAAACCCTAAACTCGAAACCCTAAATCATGTGTCTAAACCCCCCTCAACTCAAAGGGCTTTGGGTTAGGGAGTATCTTGTTTCCTAGAACCCAGGGTTTTGTTACAGGGCTCGGGTTCCCTTAGAAGCCCCTTTTGAAACCAAAAATGGCACCCTTACTATTTCCACGTTACTCCTGGGTCTAGTTAAACCCCAATCCTGAACCCTGAATGCTAGGAATACCTTGCAGAGGGTCTCCAGGGGCCAACCCGGAAGTGAACCTAGGACAGTGTCAGGTGGGTTGCTAGTAGCGTCTTAGTAAGAGGCTTATCTACACCCGAGGGTTTAGGGTTTCGGGTTTAGGGTGTAGGGTTTAGGGAAGTTTAGGGTTTAGGGAAGTTTAGGGCTTAGGGAAGTTTAGGGTTTAGGGAAAGAGGCTTGCAGAAGCAGCGGCGACCCACCTGTAAGCCCTTCGACCCTCAAAACCCTTTCATACCGTGCTACTGGGCTCTTGGGGTTGCAGCCTTTTCCAGGGCGCAGAAGCGGACCGGGATAATCAGGCCACTGCCAGGGTCTCCAGCAGAGAGTTTTGGGGTTTAGGGTTTTAGGGTTTAGGGTTTTAAGGTTTTGGGGTTTTGGGGTTTGGGGGTTTGGGGGTTTTGGGGTTTCAGGGTTTTAGGGTTTTGGGGTTTTGGGGTTTTAGGGTTTTAGGGTTTTGGGGTTTTGGGGTTTAGGGTTTTAGCGTTTTAGGGTTTTGGTGTTTTGGGGTTTTAGGGTTTTACAGTTTTGGGGTTTTGGAGTTTTAGGGTTTCAGGGTTTTAGGGCTTTGGGGTTTTGAGGTTTTAGGGTTTTAGGGTTTTGGGGTTTAGGGTTTTAGGGTTTTAGGGTTTGGGGGTTTTAGGGTTTTGGGGTTTTAGGGTTTTAGGGTTTCGGGTTTAGGACGTTGGCAAGCAGGTCGCAACCAGGGTTTAGGAATTAGGGTGTTACCTGAAACCTAAACCTTTGGGCTTTGGGATTTTTGCGCTCTTCAGGGTTTCGTTTTTTGCGGTTCCGGTGTCTCTTCACAACGAGCTACGAGAAATTCGCTTGTAGTTTTTTTTTGGGCGGGCAGAGTTCATCTCGGGTGCAGGGGTTTTGCTTTCGAGGTTCAGAGTGTAGGGCTATGGGGTTTCGGGGTTTGAGGGAATTCGGCGTTGAGGGTTTTTGGGCTGTTTTAGGCTTGTACGGCTTCCCTGGTGTCTCAACGGCCTGCTCTTTCGGGGACCGCGTACTCCATACCTGGCCTCCCGGCCTAGGCTGGCCCCCCCCGCAAGGCTGCAGTTTGCAATTTCCGCCTGCTTCCTACGCAGGAGCTCCAAGCGGATGAAGGCTGTGTGGCCGGAGAGGGAGAGGAAGAGGAGGAGGAGGTGGCCTGCACGAGAGACTGTAAGGCATCGAATGCTCCCGTAAAACAACGGTGTCACCTAGAATCCGAGAGCCTTGACCGCTTTCTTTTTCATGTCAAGATTTTCCCCTTATGTGGATTTTTGCCGAGTCGTGGCACTGACAGCAACAACGCAACTGGAGCACCAAAGGCCCGCTACTCCCTGGAGCCTGATACTTAGTTACTTGGCCAGGTTGATGATGAGATCGAAGAAGCAGAGGGAGAGCAGGAGGAGGAGGACCATGCATCTAAATCCGCCTCTTGGCTGCAGGCTTGGCTGCGCGATTTCGTGTATGGGCCGCGCGATCATGATTGCCAACTTTGCGTAAGACGGTCCTTGGCCCGATACCGATACCTCTCAGGGAGCATACCCAGTAACATGGGGGTGGGTCAACCGCCCCCTTTCTACGAACTCATATTGTCATTTTCCTTGTTTTTCTAACAGTCCTGAATAGGGATGATAGTAGGGGGTACGATAATCCCTATTAAGGACTGTTAGTATAAGGGGGAACATCCCAGCATGCAGCCCTAGAGCCCCAGAATTAAGGACTGTTAGTATAAGGGCCAACATCCAAAGCTTCCTAACTTAAGGAAGCCAGGGCTGCGAGCCGACTGATGGCTGTATACTTTCACAGGTCTCCAAAGATGAAGCCGAAGCCCATGCGAAACCCGAATCGAGTCCACCCTAAACCCTAAACCCTAAACCCTAAACCCTAAACCCTAAACCCTATACCCTAAACCCTAAACCCTGTAACCCTATGACCCTGTAACCCTATAACCCTATAACCCTAGACCCCAAGCCCTAAAGATCGACAGGAGGAGCACGCAAAGCAGCTCCTGGAGACGCCAGTACCACCTCAAGAGGCTGACACAAGTGGTTCGACCTTGTTGCCCGCAGAGCCCTAAACCCTAAACCGTAAACTTAACCCTAGCTCTAATGCCTTTTTGGGATCCTTATCTAGGAAACCGCTTTTATTCGGTGTTACGGATCCTTTGCCAATCCCTTGATAGAAAAACAGGCACTCTTACATTCCTAGAAGCGGTTTTGGGCTTTCTGGGCTGCTCTTCAGAGAGCATTCGGGTTTAGGATTGGATGTCCACCAATCTTAAGTTTAAGTCTTAGTTGCGATAAGTTAGTTTGTTCCAATAAGTTTCGTACGGCATTGTTGCGAAGGTGAAAATGGTTCCTGAAGAGGTCAATGTGGAAAGAAGATGAACCTCCATACAATGGACCACCGACATTCAAGCAGCTTTCGCAGATGAACAAAAACCGGCACACCTAGATAATATAGGGATCGGAAGAAGTACTACTAGTATTCCCTTATGGCCCTTGAGAACCATACTATAATGACCCCAACGCCCTATTCTAATTTCTCAGGCCCCTATAATAGACGTTATGGAGCCTTTCCCTTGTCAAGTAGTCAGAGCTTTGTTTGCATACGTGGCCTGTCGCGTTCCGTGGCTCGAACCGCTGGCCTAACAAACGTGATGAGCGATTGAACCCTCTACCTGACAGCGTGAGTTTGCCCTGGAAGGGAGGCACCAGTCCCTTTTGGCGGGTTGTCGGCTACTCTTGGTACATCCTGCATCAGCTCCAAGGGAACCTGAACTTGAAGAAGCTATCCCTGTGGCAGGGAGATCGCCGAAGCATTTGCGCGTCCTCTCTGCTAGAGTCTGAAGAAGAAATGATGCAACCATGAGTCGAACCCCTAAACCCTAAGCCCTAAACCCTAAACCCTAAACCCTACACCCTACACCCTACACCCTACACCCTAAACCCGTACCAACAAGCCGCAGTTCCCTAGAACCCTGTTTTTGGGGCTATTTTTTCTACATACTTTGGCGGTCCAGGCAACCCTAAACCCTAAACCCTAAACCCTAAACCCTAAACCCCTTGAACCACTAATCCCCTAAGCCCTCATAATCTGAAAAGGCTTCTTCGGTGGCAACTCTCGGCCCCTACATCTTTGCCTCTTGCCACGAGGAAGCTCCTCTGCAGTTGTCGTTAGGGTTTAGGGTTTAGGGTTTAGGGTTTAGGGTTTAGAGTTTAGGGTTTAGGGTTTAGAGTTCAGGGTTTAGGGTTTTAGGGTTTAGGGTTTGCGGTTTCGGGTTCAGGGCACAAGGCTCTGTGTCTCTGGGTTTTTTTAAATTATATTACGTCTACATTGTTAACACACAGGGGCTGACTCTGAGTCAGCGTCCAGGGAATGCCCTGTAAACCCGAGGCCTTAAACCCTAAACTCTAAACCCTAAACCCTAAACCCTAAACCCTAAACCCTAAACCCTAAACCCCTCACTCCTAACCTTGGCTGCCGATCAAAGCCTTAGGGTTCCGACTTTTCTTCGCAGAACTTGGGGCTTCTGCTCAGGGTTTAGGGTTTAGGGTTTAGGGTTTAGGGTTTAGGGTTTAGGGTTTAGGGGGTTGGGGTTTAGGTTTCTAGATTCTAGTTAAGGTTCAGGCAACGGGGTGGCAGGTGTTTTTTTTTTTCGCCGCCGTTTGTGGCGGGGTCTCCCTAACCCTAAACCCTAAACCCTAAACCCCGGGTGGCTTAGGGCTTCATGCAGGCAAGCCTGTGGGCATCGCGATGGAGAAGAGCGTAGGTTGGTTGAACTTGAATTTCAGGGTCCAGGGCCGTATGTTTTTTTTAGGAATTCCGGTGTTTGCACTTTGGGTTTCCTTGTCTTAGGGTTTAGGGTTTAGGGTTTGTAGGGTTTAGGGTTTAGGGTTTAGGGTTCTTTGTTTCTGGAACCCTCAGCCAGGACGTGCTGCACTATCTCCAGCCTCAGTGCGCAACTCGGGGGGGCTGCATGCAAGCTTGAAGGCCTCCAGTTCTGCCTTGTCAGCCTTGGGTTTAGGGTTTAGGGTTTAGGGTTTTGGGTTTAGGGTTTAGGGTTTAGGGTTTAGGGTTTAGGGTTTGGGTTAAGACATCATGGGCCCGAAAACCCCAACGCCCAAAGCCCCAAATCCCCAAATCGCCCACTACCCCAGACCCTCCAAAACCACCCCCCACACCCCCAAAAACCATATAAGGGGTATTGCATTTGCTGACCATGCTCAACTTTATGCCTAAACCCTAAACCCTAAACCCTAAACCCTAAACCCTAAACCCTTAAGAACTACCGCAGATCGGCTCGAGGTTTGTTTGCTACTGCGCCGTGGGTCAGAAGCCAAAGTTGCTACAGAACCCGAACGAAGGCTGCTCGCCTATGAGTTCCCAGGAATGGGAGTTTAGGGTTTAGGGTTTAGGGTTTACGGTTCCGGGAATTCCACTTTGAAGTTCAAGCAGGGGTGCTCTTTGATTGGAAAAAGGGTCTCATTGTTACCGTCTATACATTTAAGACTGAAAACTGCAGGGCTCTCCGACCCCCAAATAGTCGGATCCCCTTACAATAGGACCCGAATATGGTACCCCCACCAGCGAGCATCACGAGCATCAGCTGGGTGGCGCTCTGTGGGCAGCACCCTGCCCAACGAGCAAGCATCAGCTTCGCTGCCCTTTGCGTACCAGCCCCCCACCGCCGAGCATGACGAGCATCGGCTGGGTGGCGCTCTTTGGGCAGCAGCCTGCCCAACGAGCATCATGAGCATCAGCTTCGCCTTTGCGTAGCAGCCCCCCACCAGCGAGCATCACGAGCATCAGCTGGGTGGCGCTCTTTGGGCAGCAGCCTGTCCAACGAGCATCATGAGCATCAGCCCCCCACCAGCGAGCATCACGAGCATCAGCTGGGTGGCGCTCTTTGGGCAGCAGCCTGCCCAACGAGCATCATGAGCATCAGCTTCTCCGCCCTTGGCGTAGCAGCCCCCCACCATTGGGCAGCAGCATGCCCAACGAGCATCATGAGCATCAGCTTCGCTGCCCTTTGCGTAGCAGCCCCCCACCAGCGAGCATCACGAGCATCAGCTTCGCTGCCCTTGGCGTAGCAGCCCCCCATCAGCTGGGTGGCGCTCTTTGGGCAGCAGCCTGCCCAACGAGCATCATGAGCATCAGCTTCGCTGCCCTTTGCGTAGCAGCCCCCCACCAGCGAGCATCATGAGCATCAGCTTCGCTGCCCTTGGCGTAGCAGCCCCCCACCAGCGAGCATCACGAGCATCAGCTGGGTGGCGTTGGGCAGCAGCCTGCTCAACCAGCATCATGAGCATCAACTGCCCTTTGCGTAGTAGCCCCCCACCAGCGAGCATCACGAGCATCAGCTGCGTGGCGCTCTTTGGGCAGCAGCCTGCCCAACGAGCATCATGAGCATCAGCCCCCCACCAGCGAGCATCACGAGCATCAGCTGGGTGGCGCTCTTTGGGCAGCAGCCTGCCCGACGAGCATCATGAGCATCAGCTTCGGTGCCCTTTGCGTAGCAGCCCCCCACCAGCGAGCATCACGAGCATCAGCTGGGCGGCGCTAGCAGCCCCCCACCAGCGAGCATCACGAGCATCAGCTGGGTGGCGCTCTTTGGGCAGCCTGCCCAACGAGCATCATGAGCATCAGCTTCGCTGCGCTTTGCCTAGCAGCCCCCCCACAGCGAGCATCACGAGCATCAGCTGGGTGGCGCTCTTTGGGCAGCAGCCTGCCCAAAGCGCATCATGAGCATCAGCTTCGCTGCCCTTTGCGTAGCAGCCCCCACCAGCATCACGAGCATCAGCTGGGTGGCGCTCTTTGGGCAGCAGCCTGCCCACCGAGCATCATGAGCATCAGCTTCGCTGCCCTTTGCGTAGCAGGCCCCCCCGTGAGCATCACGAGCATCAGCTGGGTGGCGCTCTTTGGGCAGCAGCCTGCCCAGCGAGCATCATGAGCATCAGCTTCGCTGCCCTTTGCGTAGCAGCCCCCCACCAGCGAGCATCACGAGCATCAGCTGGGTGGCGCTCTTTGGGCAGCAGCCTGCCCAAAGAGCATCATGAGCATCAGCTTCGCTGCCCTTTGCGTAGCAGCCCCCCACCAGCAAACATCACAACATCAGCTGGGTGGCGCTCTTTGGGCAGCAGCCTGCCCAACGATATGAGCATCAGCTGGGTGGCGCTCTTTGGGCAGCAGCCTGCCCAACCAGCATCATGAGCATCAGCTTCGCTGCCCTTTGCGTAGCAGCCCCCCACCAGCGAGCATCACGAGCATCAGCTGGGTGGCGCTCTTTGGGCTGCCCAGCGAGCATCACGAGCATCATCTTCGCTGCCCTTTGCCTAGCAGCCCCCCACCAGCGCGCATCACGAGCATCAGCTGGGTGGCGCTCTTTGGGCAGCAGCCTGCCAACGAGCATCATGAGCATCAGCTTCGCCGCTGGCCTTTGCCTAGCAGCCCCCCACCAGCGAGCATCACGAGCATCAGCTGGGTGGCGCTCTTTGGGCAGCAGCCTGCCCAACGAGCATCATGAGCATCAGCTTCGCTGCCCTTTGCGTAGCAGCGAGCATCAGCTGGGTGGCTCTCTTTGGGCAGCAGCGCATCAGCTTCGCTGCCCTTTGCCTATAGCCTAGCAGCCCCCCACCAGCGAGCATCACGAGCATCAGCTGGGTGGCGCTCTTTGGGCAGCAGCCTGCCCAACGAGCATCATGAGCATCAGCTTCGCTGCCCTTTGCGTAGCAGGCCCCCCCGTGAGCATCACGAGCATCAGCTGGGTGGCGCTCTTTGGGCAGCAGCCTGCCCAACGAGCATCATGAGCATCAGCTTCGCTGCCCTTTGCGTAGCAGCCCCCCACCAGCGAGCATCACGAGCATCAGCTGGGTGGCGCTCTTTGGGCAGCAGCCTGCCCAGCGAGCATCATGAGCATCAGCTTCGCTGCCCTTTGCCTAGCAGCCCCCCACCAGCGAGCATCACGAGCATCATCTTCGCTGCCCTTTGCGTAGCAGGCCCCCACCAGCGAGCATCACGAGCATCAGCTGGGTGGCGCTCTTTGGGCATCATGAGCATCAGCTTCGCTGCCCTTTGCCTAGCAGCCCGAGCATCACGACATCAGCTGGGTGGCGCTCTTTGGGCAGCAGCCTGCCCAACGAGCATCATGAGCATCAGCTTCGCTGCCCTTTGCCTAGCAGCCCCCCACCAGCGAGCATCACGAGCATCAGCTGGGTGGCGCTCTTTGGGCAGCAGCCTGCCCAGCGAGCATCATGAGCATCAGCTTCGCTGCCCTTTGCGTAGCAGGCCCCCACCAGCGAGCATCACGACCGTCAGCTGGGTGGCGCTCTTTGGGCAGCAGCCTGCCCAACGAGCATCATGAGCATCCGCTTCGCTGCCCTTTGCGTAGCAACCCCCCACCAGCTAGCATCACGAGCATCAGCTGGGTGGCGCTCTTTGGGCAGCAGCCTGCCCAACGAGCATCATGAGCATCAGCTTCGCTGCCCTTTGCCTAGCAGCCCCCAGCGAGCATCACGAGCATCAGGAGAGGGCGCCCCTAAACCCTAAACCCTAAACCCTAAATAGGAACCTTTCTTAGGGCTTGGCTCCTGACGGCCTTAGTCGAGATATCTTCGGGGAGGTTCAGCCCTTACCCCACCCAAAGGAGTAGACCTTTACTTTTGGGATGTTCCCCCTTCTGCTAGCAGCCCTTAGTAGGGATTCTAGTACCTATCATAATCCCTGCCCTATTAAGGACTACTAGCATAAAGGGGGTGATCATCCCAACCTCTATTCCTAATGACTAGTTACGGCGTCTTGGGTTTCCTTGGAGGGCTTGCAGGCTTTGTGGGCTTTAAAGTTTACAAAGGGAGCCAATCCCCCTCTTTCGCGCCCCCTCCGTCCCCAAAAGGCGCTGTGACATCAAGCAAGGCATCACACTAGAAACCCCAAACCCTAAACACTCAACCCCAGACCCAAGCACGAACCCTAAACCCTAAACCCCTAAACCCCTAAACCCCTAAACCCCTAAACCCCATTCATGATTCATTTGTCCTAAGTCTCCGTTAGAGATCTTTGCGTGCCTCTCGCATGGATCGTCCGCAAGACCACTTGCATAAACCCCTAAACCCTAAACACTAAACTCCCCAGGGACTTTCCCAGGTCAACCGCCACGTCTTGAAGGCGTCGTTGAAGGTCGCCCCCAGGGGCTTACTAAGGAGGGGGTGGGGGGGACGAGAGAGGGTTTTTTGGGACTTGGGGTTCAGGATTGAGGGTTCAGGATTTAGGGTTGAGGGCCCTTCTGTTGATGTTTTTGACTTTCGTTGCGACTTCTTCCAGGCTCGAAGGTCGTGGCTGTAAGATCCTTCCGAATCCTGTCCTTGATTGGGTGGCCTGCCTTCCCAACACCTGGGAACTTCGGGCGTATTGACCTTTCCTTAGAGGTTCATGGGTAGCTATCAGAGGGTTGCAAGTATGGTAACTTCCCTTGAACCCCCAAGTATTATACCTAGCTTGCCAATCAACCTTTTGGCGCATGGCGTGCAGATCGAGTTCTCGTCGATCCACACGGCAGTCCTGCTGGGTTCACAACCGTCAAACACATAATCGCCGAATGAGCTGACTACACCCTAAACCCTAAACCCTAAACCCTAAACCCTAAACCCTAAACCCTAAACCCTAAACCCTAAACCCTAAACCCTGACACAGGTGACCTGATGCCCGTCTACCATGAGGTTATTGGAAATTGGCTACCTGTCGCGCCAGCCGACAGGAAGAACCCTCGTCGGAGCTTAGCTAAGGCAGCGGGGGTGTAGGGTTTAGGGTTTTAGGGTTTTAGGGTTTTAGGGTTTAGGGTTTAGGGTTTAGAGTTTAGGGTTTAGGGTTTAGGGTTTATGGTTCCGAACCCATCGCATGGTCATTCAGGGCCCAGGTAGCCCACTGGTATCCTTTACTTTTGTTGGGTTATGGGCTCCCTTATAAAATACCCAACCCAAAGAAGGGTAGGGAGTATACATCAAACTACGATGCGCCTTTGTCATGAAGTACTTTTTAACGTGAAACGTCTAGATTCTGAACTAAGGGCTCTGGGGAAGCTAAATCGTGAGCCCCCAAATTTGGCCGTAGGTTAGTACAGCGCAGCCCCCCCTTTCATAGCGGTCGTAGGATTTGGGTCTTAGGGCTTGGGTTGAGGGTGTACTTCATTCAGTTGTGGGGGGGGGGGGGGGGGGATGGGTCTTGAGCTCTTTGATGGTTTAACCTTCAAAAGGATGCAGCCTTGCCTTGGGGATCCGTTTGCAAACCCCTTTTGGGAAGGAAGCGAGCACATGAGGAGCATATTCAGCCGGTAGGTGCAACCTGGTTGGTGTGCGTTCATGTCCGATTTTGTCTGCATCGCCCTAGCGGTTTGTAGACTTCATTGCGCTGTTTCGTTGAGTACGTGGGTCATGCTGGTTGTTCCCCACCATTTGTCGGACAGGGTGGGTAGATGCTTGAGGAGTGTAGGGTTCCATTTGGTTCCCCCAGCCCCTAACAGTTCATCACCGCTTTGACCGCTGGATTCCATGATCAAGTCTGAAAGCGCAGTGTGACTTTGGAAGGCACAATGCTGGTTTGCAGGTGTTGCTGGGTTTAGGGTGAAGGGTTGAGTTTTAGCCATGTGAATTGGCCAAGCTGTCGCTTATTTTCAAAGGCCTACTGGGTTTCGCAATGTCCGGCCTGCCATGACGGATGTTTGTGGAGATGACAACTGCTGCACCTACATTGGTGGCAGTCCTTCCATGCAGCTCCTCTATGCTGCGGCGAGCAGCACTTACGTGCCCAGGCTTTGCCCACTTCGACACCGAAGTAGTTGCACCCTAAACCCTAAACCTTAGTGCCGGTGGCAAACGAAACTCAAAGCCTAAGCAAGTTGAATTGAACTTCGTAGTTGGTGTTACCAGCCTACAAACCCTCATAGCTCCACTAACACCAGCGCGAATCCTACGAGCATGCGGCAAGATTCACCTTATTTCCCCTGCTTGGCGGTTGAGGGTTTAGGGCTACTCGGAAGTTCCTGGGTAGTCATAAGTAGGGTTAAAGTACCCTACATGGGGACTACCCATGCACCTCCAAGTAGTGTGGTGCTTATAAGGCCTTCGGCATAGCAAAGGACAAATCAGATGCTGGGGTTTGAATGAGGCGACAGCCCCTAGAAGCCTTGAACCTAAAAGTGCTAAGCCTGACCAATCGGGCTTAAGGTTTATAAATTTCGGGGCTTACTTAGCGGTTCATGGGTAGGGTTAGAAGTATGGTAGCTATACTAATCACCCTATTTAGGGCTCCGGACTTGCACCCCACTTTTTAGTACCCTTGAACCTCGAAGTAGGGGGTTGTGGGGTTTAGAGTTTAGGAGCCCCATGACGTCACACTTCCCACGACCCTACTGAACTACTGAAGGCAGTCATAGGTTCGCTGGCCTTCACGCGGGACATGGCAGAAGTTGCAGGGGCCTACATCTACGTGCCTCGGCCCGCTTGTAGGTTTAGCTGGGGATTCTTTTTATGAGCCAAGGTGTATCGGCCTGGCTTGGAGGTTCATGGGTAGTTATAAGTAGGGTTATATGTATGGTAAGTGTACTTATAACCTGTTTAGGTTACTTACTGGGATCATGCTAGGGCCTTTGCCCTTCTGCGAAGGGTTTGCTATAGTCCCTTCTTTCAACAAAGAAGCTCCATTAAACCCTGAACCCTAAACCCTCCTTGCCTGCCTTTTGCGAGTAAAATCTTTTCCGAAGCAGGAGGGTTGAACGCTGGCAGTTGCTTGATGCCCTGGTGCCCTGGGTGTTTTTCGCGTTTGGGGGCTTTTGGGGTTCTGGTCCAAACGCTGAATCCAAGTCCTGGGTTGTGTCAGTTCGACCACCGCAACCTGGGGGCTGAGGGGTTCCGGGTCGAGCAGGCTGTATAAGGTTTGGGGTCCCAGAATGTAGGAGATCTCAGCTCCATCCGACTTCCTGTTTCCTGTCAAAATTGAAACCTAGCCGACACGAGACCCTAAACCCCAAACCCTAAACCCGAGACACCCTGAAGTTTTTACCTACAGGGTAAATAGGCTGCAGGGAAATGGAGCTGCGGGTGCTCAGAGATAGATAGGTGTCCTTAGGCCCTATAAAGCCTAAGAACCCAGAGCAGGCCGTTTTTCCCTTTTATTATGGTTCCCTTATTATAAGCCCCATAAAGCCAAAAAGGGCACCCTTTTATTTACTGTTGGGTCTAGTAGCCCTAAATTAGCCTAAACCCCATTCCTAGGTTACTCTTGGGTTTAGCTACTGTAGGGCCTAAGGCTATGGGTTTCAGAACCCTAAACCCTAAACCATGAACCCTAAACCCTAAACCCTGTTTTGTTCCTGGGTTACTCTTGGGGTTAGAGCCCTGCGCCCTAAACCCGATAAGGCCCCTCGGGCGATGACACTCATCATGTATGCGGTCGGCGGCTGCGTGGCAGTTCTTTGGATCCTGGGATCCCCAGAGTTGCTCTTTTTTGGGTTTAGGGTTTGGGGTTTAGGGTGTAGGGTTTAGGGCTTGGGGTTTGGGGCTTGGGGTTTGGGGTTTGGGGTTCTCTCCGTTCATTCCTTGATTGCGTTGCATTCTAAAGCCCCAGGAAAGCAGGACATGGTCCTTCTAGTTGCCTGGCGAACGTGGAACCCAGGATCTTGATGGTTGCCTCTCGCTGCTGTGCGCCGTTCTGCTGCGCAGCATCCCTGCGGGATGTGCCACACCCATGTCCTCTTCAGTGCACGTCAAAGAGCGCGCAGTGCATGGACTACCCCTTCATGATCGCCCTCGGCGGCGAGATCTGCATCTTCATACCCATGTACATAGACTCGGTGTTGTGGTTCAGGGGTGAGAAGAGCTTAGGACTATTTGGCTGCTGCAAATTCTTCGGGTCTGCTGGATTCTTTGTGCTATCATCGGCACAGCATTCGCGGTGAAGAAGTACCAGCTCATGCGAGTGCAAGTGGTGCGAATAGCAGGAAATCCTCTGCCAAGCAACCGACAACCCGATCCAGGAAATGTGGTGGTTGGCGTGCCTGTAGCTCTCAGGCCTGCTGCAAACGGTGCGTAAACATTAACTCGCTATAGGCCTTTTGGATATGACATATATAATGTTACGTTTTCCCTCATTGGGTTTGAGAGGACCATGTTTAGGACTATTTTTCAGAGGGTTTTAAGGGCCGTCCACATAGATCGTGCCCAGCGTCATTTGTGACGCAGGGCTTCTGCTCGAGTTGTTTCAACCCCAAAACCGCGGTTTTCCTGAAGCCTTAGTTCCCTTCTTTCGGGGTTGCTTTCCAGGCTACAGGGTGTGAATCCAGGTGTCCATTCCTCTAGATACGATTCTGCCACTACAGGTGCCCGTCACAGAAAGCACAAATCTTGAATATTCTTGAATCGTCTCAGTGTGGTGTATAAGCATCTACTTTATCAACCTGAGCCTGCTTGCATCTGAACTGAACACCAGTGAACGCAATTGAGGGCTCCCGCGGGCTGATTGAAGAACGTGATCGCCGACCTGCAGAGCACGGATGTGGATGCGCCAGGATGGCTCTAATCTCCGGGCACAGACTCTAGCGACCAGGTCCTCTTGACAGCTGAAACTGACATGCTGGGAGGAGGAGGGAGGAGTTGCCCACGTGGGACAAGAGAGTCCCCAAATGAAAGCGGCCTTGACGTGTGAAGGACCTCTCGAGGTCTGCACCGCCCTTGTCGCCCGCCTTAAAACAATCTCCAGGCAGCGCTGCTTTTGTCAAAGTGGTGAATCCAGGGCGCAATCACGTCCAAGCCACAAAAACCCTAAACCCTGAACCCACATTGTCAAGCCCTCAACCCCAAACAGCTCCCCAAACTGAACAATCCCGACATCCCTCCCAGCGCGAACTTAGGAAACACGATGCCTGCCAAGTCACCTACAAGGGTTCCCAGGAGCCGTGGCCTTTGCGGTTTTTTGGCAGGTTGAGTCGAGGCAACAAGAGGGGCCCTACGAAAGAGAGTGCACTGAGCAAAGACTTCAGGGTCTTTTTTTGAGACTAAAAGGGTGTTGAGGTTTCCAGTATTCCTAGGTCCATACTAAACCTGGAGTTTCTGGGCGTGCAAACTGAGTCACCAATAATTAGTCCAAACGGCGGATTTGGGGCAATGACAAACTTGAACCATGATTACTGTCATTATGTGCTGTTTAGTAGCAACAGCACTATCACTGCTTATGGGACTGACTGACTCCAAGCCTGTTTTCACCTGAAATGCGACCACCCTAATCGGTTGTGAAGAAGGAGCGCACCTCCATCGTCCCATAGGGCCCGTCGAAGTCTTCATCTTGCGAAAGGGCTTCGCTACGCAAGAACTCCTAAGCCTACTGCGAGAAGACTTCCTGTATGATGGAACTGAACCCTAAACCCTATACACCTTAATTAAGGAATTACTTATGTGGAACTTGGCATCCCTGGGTGCCAAAGAAATTAAGGAATTTCGAAAAAAACTCGGGTCATGGTTGTCACTTCACGGGTCCCTCAAGACCTCGTGGTTGAAACCCCCTAAAACCCCTTAAAACCCTTAAACCCAGTAAAGCACTGAAGGCTCTCAACCCTGTACCCAGAGAGCCCAAGACCCTTTAATTAAGCAAGATTCCTTAAACCATATAGGGATCCTTAGTATGATTTAAGGAATATCCCTTAATTGAGGGGTATTGGGCTCTTAAGGGTAAAGAAGAAGGAGGCCGGCGTTCTCAAGGTGCGCTTTGAGAATAGCGGCGGGAAGGAGGTGAAATGGCTGCGGCCCTTCGCCGGCAACTGCGAGCGGGTTTGGGCTTTGCTTATATAGGGTTTAGGGTTTAGGGTTTAGGGTTTGGGGTGTCCGCCAATCCTCCAAGTAAACCAAACCAAAGGTTGAACTGAACTGGTGGCTTAGGGTTCGTATATCCGAGTGAGGGTTGCCGAGGTGTTTGCGCTGGGTTGTGCGTATGATAAATTGCCGGGGCTTGGGAATGAACGGTTGCTGTTTATAGCAGCTAGAGAGAGATTGAAAATCCAAGCGTGAAACCCTAAACCCTAAACCCTAAACCCTGAACCCTGAACCCTAAACCCTAAACCCTAAACCCTAAGCCCTGTTCTAGAACCTTGAACTATCAGTTCGCATCACCAACTTGGCCTGTCAGATCGGCCTTGCACCCAAGGCGGTAGCACGGCATTCCCTTTTTCAAAGCCTTCTGCTTGGAGGTTTATTTGCAACCCTTAAGGGTTTAGGGTTTAGGGTTTAGGGTTTAGGGTTTAGGGTTTAGGGTTTAGGGGTAGGTTCAGTTGTAAATTTAAGTCGGGTGATAACTATGGCAACTGTTCTTTTACCCCTAGTTCGGGTACTTATATCCCTACTTGTAGCTGCCCATGAACCTCCAGGTAAGTCTTAAGGCCCAACTTTCCCACCCAGAGGAAACTCAACAACATTCCAGGACCCAAGTCATGAAGTTAAGGGCCTAGGCAGTTTTGGGTTAAGGGTTTAGGGTTTAGGGTTTAGGGTTTAGGGTAGCTTGAGGATGTTGGGGCCTTTCGAGGCCGCAAAAGGACGGCTACTACGTGGGCACCTTCGCCAAAAGCTCCCGAGAGCTGCAAGTTCGGGCTGCGAGCGCGAATCTGCTCATGGTGCAGCAGTTTGGCTGAGCGTTTGAGGTTTGAGGTTTGAGGTTCAGGGGTTTTGCTTACCCTAAACCGAAAACCCTAAACCCTAGGCCCTGAGCCCTCAGCCCTGAGCCCTGAGCCCTAAGCCCTAAGCCCTTGTCTTGCTGCCCACGTCTCATGGAAGGAATGTGGCCGAACACGAGAGAGTGCTCGCAGAAAGGAACTCAAAACTGCAATGCTAAGCTTTAAGCCCCAAACTCCTAGCCAAGCTTCGATACGGTTCATAGCCTATGATGAAAGAGGTATTGGCATCTCTTTGAGGGTCTTCTGCCTACACCCGGTATCCCAAACCCGAAACCCTAAACCCTAAACCCATGATGGCTCAAGGTTCCGAGGGGGTCCGCAGGCACCTTGGAGCAAGGCAGCTGCGTGGAAGGGACATTGGGTGGGGCAGGGGGGAGGGGGGGGGCGGGGTTGAGGGGCTTTTTTTGTGACTCTCTGCGGGTGGTCTAAGAAGATTTAGGGTTTGGGGTTTGGGTTTCAGGTTCAGAAAGTTCAGGGCGTAGGGGAGGTTGATGGGGTCAAGAGGGTCTTGGGGACATGTCGGGTGCGCTTTCATCTTCAAGTGAGGCTTGGAGGTGCAGAGCAGGGGGGGCAAAGGTCCCGTTTATGGACTCCCTGTACATGGATCTCTTACATGACTGAGGTAGCCCAGTGGTACCCTTTTCCCTTTTTGTTGTTCAAGGTCCCCTTGTAAAGTAGCCAACCCCAAAAGGGGTGCCCTTATTATGATATGGTTACTGGGCTACCAAGATGAGCATGCCGCTGCATGTCTATGTCAGAGTTTCTGCAGCTGCTGTAGGTCAAGGCCTTAGCATGTTTCTTCGGGGGTGGCATGGCTCCTGCTGGCACTTCCCAAAGAGCCCAATGGCCCCTTTCATTGAGGAAAACACTAAGGATCCCAACAAAGCTTAAGGTTTATTCCTGAACCCTAAACCCTATTTAGGAAGTAAGGGGTTTTAAGGGTTCTTTGGGCTCAAGTCTTGTGGGAAGTGATTGGGCCCCAAAGCACAGGCCCCGGACTCAAAACCCTAGACCCTAGACCCTCAACCCTAAACCCTGCTGCCTCTCCTTGTGGGAAGTGACCGGGAGCGCCCCTCTGCTTTGGTGCAGGCAGTGCGCTACTCCCGGCGCAACCTGCCCTCTGCACACCAGGCATCCTAGGGACTGCCATTTAGGGCTCAGGGCTTAAGGTATCAGACGTAGGTTTTGGGGTCTAGGGTAGACATGTATAGATGTTAACCTTTATTCGTAGTCTTGGAGAAGCGACCAGCCCCAGCCAAGAGTTTATTTCGACTGAAAACTGCAATCGCCCCAAGTTCAAGCCTTCACACAAGAATGTGTCGAATTCAATTTGATCATCGCATTGGCGCGCGGCACGCGTCACTGATCAGTTGGAGCTGCCCATCCCTTGAGCAATCAAAGACCGTTGGGGTGCACGTGAATCCCAATCGGCCCACATCGCAAGTTGCATGGGCGCCCTTACTAGTAATTGCTGTATCTGAGTCTGTGCCTATGCACAACTTATGGCCCCTGTTTTAAGGTATGGCAATGGTATGATTCTTTGCAAGGGTTAGGATTTAGGGTTTAGGGTTTAGGGATAATACCGACTTTGGAACGATTTGGGGGTCTCTGCGGGCCCTAGTTCAACGACCTTACGAAGCCCTAAACTGACAACCCCAAACTACCCTTAACCCCGAACCACCTGATGCAAGCATTCAGCACAATTCTGCGAGGCTTTGGGTTGAAGAGATAAATACACTGTAGTTGCAATCCGCCGCGTCGAAAATGCTTCGCCCAAGTCCTCTGAACTAAGGATGCAAGGAATATATGGTTGTGCGCTGTGCCCCCCCTCCCCCTGGAGGGGGAGGGGGGGAACCACAACCTGGCAAGCTTGAGTTCATAATTAGCACTCCGTCAACTTTAGTTTCAGGTACATTCCTTAGTGCTGGGTAGACATGAAGCTTGAAAGTTGGCAGCCAACTACCTCCAAGGTTTTAGCGGTGGCCAAGGACCCGGAGAAGGCTTCACGTGGCCCGGTCGGGGAGAGGTTGGTGCGAGGGAGGGTGGACCCAAGCCAGAAAAACAGAAACCCCCAGTTCAACGCATCCCCTGGTCGCAAGCAATATCATGAATAGGGCATTTTCAGGTGCGAGGCCAATAGGCGTGGAGTGCCGATCGTGCCAATTCTTCGGTTCTTCCAACTGTCATTCCTCATCTCCCGCCCACCCACCTTGTGTGATCCTTGACGTTCCTAGCATACTGTTGGCTTCGTTCCATCTCGGCTATGTGATTTGCTTGCCTTTCGGCTGAGCTTTGCTGCTTTGCATGCTGGTCAAGCTGACTTACACTCCTAGACAAAAGACTGGCCTCCTTTTCTTTTGCCCCCTTGTGTGGGCTTTAGCAGGCTCAACCCCCTGAACTTGGCATACCAAGGTGATACGTCTGCGCTGAACTATGCAAACTGTGAGCGCCAAACCATGGACGCATGCGGTTCTATGGCCGCAAGTGAAGGAGGAATCAAGTGGTGGGCTTAGGGGAGTTTGGGGTTGCACAGATCCCGGGCCTAGCGCGCAACATCCAGTGGCAGAACTCCGTTGGAGTGGTGGCTGCTGAGAACTCGTTGTTCCTGCGCTTTGTAGCTGCACGCTATGCCCTATGCCCAAACGAAGGAG